TGGCATGTTTAAACACCAGTGTGGTGTTGGCAAGCCTGTTATGTAGCATTTTATCACATTTTATTATCCTATTTTATGACTTTTTTTAGTCCACATATATACTGTATCAAATGCATTATCCTCATCAAAAAACTCAAGCAAGTTAAACACCAGAGCCCACGATCTACATTTAATAAATTCATGCTGGCTTCCCTTAATTAAAATCACTCTTGTCCACATTACTATTACTTTTGTCCCAAATTAATGTTTCTAAAACCTATCTCGAACAAAATCAACTGACTGGTGTATAGCTACTGTGATTATTCTTCCACTGTTTGGAAAAAAAAATACACAATTTGCAATTCCCCAGTCCATTGATACCATTCCAGGTTATGGTTAATTCCTGCACAATTTCCACCTCTATTTCAGTCAACATCTGACGATGCACGCTAAATGGTTCTGGTCTCTTATCAACTTTAAATATAGCTGGTCTTTTTAGTCCCTCTGTTTTGACATTTCTTTTGGACCATCTGGATTACCAACCATCTCCTCTTTCACCATGGGTCTGATGATAATTTCTTCCTTGGAAAAGTTAAGTATGAGTTGGTCATTTAGTTCCCCAGCTATGCACTCTACTTCCATGTATAGTCCTCTTTTGGTACCTAATCAGCTATTACAGCTTTATTTTACCATTATATAGTTATAGAATATTTTTGACTTCCATTTTATGTCAGTCTCTTTCTGATACTCCCTTTCCCATTTTTGTTTTAAGATTTCTCAGCTAAATTTTTTATAACCAGTTTTGTTTGGATTTTTATTGTTCTAGCAACCTGACATCTGTCAAACACTGTTTTTTCTATTCCAACATACTCTCTATCTCATTCACTATTCAGGGAGCTCTGACTTTGGTTGCCCTAACTTTCCCCCTCATGGGAATGTACTTTTCCATATATCTGAGGTTGAACCATTTATTCTTTAAAGACAGCCAATTACAGTTTTGCCTGTCAATCATTGATTCCAATTAGCCTGGACCAGATCTGTTTAATTTTAAATTATGGATCTGATCTTAACCCATTGAAATTGGATCTCTTTCAGTTTTAATACTGTTTCTCTAGATTATTCCTTGTTGTTTTCCATAGCTAATCTAAAACTTATAATATTCAAGTTCCTTAAATGTTCCACTAGAGAAAATTAACTAATTTCTTCCTTAAAACTACATCAACAATGCCTCTTCTCTCAAGGTGAGTGAAATGTACTGTTCAAGAAAATTTACCTGAACATACTTAAAAGCTTCTTATCACTCTCTTCCTTTTACACTATTATTCCCAGTCTATACTAGAATAATTGAATTCCCCTTATTTTGGCTCTTTTCTTGCACCACTCTGTAATTTATCTGCAAGTTGTAGTGCAAAGGCTTCTCGATTGCTTCTTAACCTGAATCAATTAGAATTTGTCCTTCATCCCTTGTCTCTCTCCAGCATTTCAACAATCTCTTTAATCAATACTGCTACCCCTCTTCCTTTCTTACATTTCTTTTCTTCCCAGAGCACCATATATCTAGGAATATTCAGTATCCAGCTTTGCTCTTTTTAAAGCCAAATCTCTGTTATCACCACATCATGTGCCTATAATGGTTGCATTTGCCACTACGTCACCAACATTGTCCATACGTAATGTTATTTGAAATTTATTCAGAAGTATGATTTTGTTACAGTCAACAGATTAGCTTGTTTCTCAATTTTCCCAAAATCCAGCACCCTTTAAAACTATTCATGTGACAGTGTTATTTTTCCAGAGGGATTAATGATAGTGGTTACTAATAGGATCACAGAATAGTTACAGAAAGTCATTCAGCCCATCATGACTGTGATGGTACTTTTGAAGGAGCAGTTCTAGTGCTACCCTGTCTATTCTGCATTTATTTTTTTTCAGGTAGTGATACTATTTCCGTTTGAAAGCTTCAGTTGGCTTGCCTCCACCACACCAGCAGGCAATGCATCCCAGATCCTAACTACTCCTCGTGAAAAAAGTTTTCTCCAAGTTGCCGCCTTTTGCCAATTGCCTTAAATCTGAGCCTCAGGTTTTGAATTCTTCCACTAGAACTAACAATATCTTTCACACTATCTGTCAGACCCTTCATGATTTTGAATACCTTTTTATTAAATCTCCTTATCTATTTAGAAGGGTTCCAACTTCTCCAATCATTAAGTTCCCGATCTCTGCGAATCTATTCCGCACTCTTCCCGATGCTGTCATATCCTTCTGAAAACCTGGACGTTAATACGCAGGTCGATGCAGAACCATGTGTTTGGATAAGGATTAATGACTGTAAGATATCTAAGAAATGGTGACTAATTTTCAATTTATTTTTATGAAAGGATCAAGAAGTTTTCTAAAAGCCTTTCCTTGACGTCCCCGCTATTAGAATATATGCGTGTCTATCTTAAACTCATACGCCATGTAGAGGTTTGACGTTCTTGTACATAATTTTTTTGAACAACATCTCTAGACGTTCGGTCCTATACAGCTTTCTGTATATCATGTTTGCCACGCACGTTTTGGAAACGATTAATTGAACACATCAATTAAATTCGAGAATTAAACTCAAGAAATTCCGACGAGATTGGAAACGCAGCCGCGGTACTGATAACTTTGATAGACCGCAAGGAGGCGCTCATGACATTAATTTAAGCGTCGTCTGAGATTTCCGACTTCTCAGAAATCAGGTAGAAGGATCCTGACTGAATTTCTTTTCATGTATCTGGCCCGCCCGAATTCAATTACTCTCTCGTGTCAAAAAGTGACATAATTGTTAAGTGATTATAAAAAAGGCAATTAAATATAAATATTCATTTTGAACAATGTATACGTTGCAGCCGTTGAATTGTTGCACTATTGTTGTGAAAAGTAAATTGAAAGTGGTTGTTTAGCTTTTGTAACAGGACAACATTGCACGCGTTGATTCTAGGTGAGTGATGTGCGCTTAGTGATTCCCGCACGAATGGCGGGAGGCGGTATCGAGTTGTCTTTGACGATCTGGGATCTTCAAATGCTTACAAATTTGAATCACGCTTCTTGCCACTGACACAGAATTCTAGCTTACGTTTGAAATATTTTCACTGAGACAACACCTAAGTTGGCACAACACAATATTTTAACTAGCCCGTGTATGGTTTTGAACGTTGCCGACCCTGAAACTCAAGTTAAGTCTAATTAGTTTTAGTTATGGTAATTAACGCCATTGCCTTCGTACATCACACAGCTTAAGGTAACATTAAATCCCTTTCTGGGACAAGCCCGTTGAATTATTAATTATTTTCACTGAACTCCCTGCACTCAGGCGATTGTAATGGATTCGTGGTGTTGATATAGGGGCTGTAACTGGAACTATTGGTTGTGTTCTAAAAGCCAGCAAAGATTTTAGCCACTTCCTTGGCCCCTATTGTTTACATGTGTAATATGCATCCTTCATTTATCTAACAGGTATCATGAGCATTATCAGAAAACGGAAACCCACGCTCAGATAAGGCGCAAGCAAGATATATTGCTGAATAGTTCAGCGCTGTTTCAAAAGCCACGTACACTTACCTTGAATATATCAACGACTATGTCACTAGCAGAATATTTAAAATTTTCAGATCAAATAAGATTACATTGATTAACTGTTTAAATGTTATTACATCAATAAACAGAAATAAGTTTTACAATACTTCAACCAATATATCTTTTATATTTGGATAACTTGGAAATGGAGAAAATCCCTTTCATTTCTGTTGGTTTTGCCAAGCCCGGGTTCTCGGCTAGCCTCAGTGGATCTTTACTCCGGGAGACTGTCACTTGCTGGTCGAGGAACAGGTCCGACGCCGCTGGTGGTCGGAGACGTGAGTCTGCGAAATAATGAGCCTGAGCAGTTGTCACTCTTGCAATTAATTGAACTACAAGTTTTATTTAGCAAGTCATTCATAACGCAATCACACTGATAACAATTGCAGCACCGACAGTGAGCATTAAATCCTACAATAAAACGTTAATGGTTATTATTTGAGATGAGTATAGAGTGCGATGCCAATGCATAACAGGTTAGTTGTCTGCGAGGAAGATGGGGGGGCGGGGTGTGGAGAAAAGCTTTTGAATGTGATTACACAGCAGAATTGGCCATACCTATCCTAATGGAAAATTCGGACTTCTTTCCGACGGGAATCGGTGGCCACGCATCTTCACATCGATTTTCTTTAACCATGAGGTTTGAACTATTTGAGTGGGGGGGGCGGAAGAGAGAAGCTACCGAGACCCTTATTTTTGCCTCAACAAAGTGAAGTCGCTTTGTGCATCTACAGAGCCACACACGTGTTTGCTTGAAAGGAACAAGTAAAACTCTGGGCAAAATGAGTTAATATGGACGAGAATCGAACTGATTTGACTCCCATGACTTATTGGGGGAAAAAAATCCAAGATGTTTACCAACGTAATTCTTTTTTGCTCATCACACTGCTAACGTAAATTGAGCTTTAGGTAAATCCAGAGGTGAAATCAAACCACTTATTGGCAAAATAAATAGAGAAAACTACTGCGGGCTTTGGAAATCTGCAAGAAATGGTGGAATTCTCGGGGTCAGACAATATCTGCGGTCAGGAACAGTCTTAACTTTTCAAGCCGAGATGACCTCTCGTTAGAACAGAAATTTAAATAAAAATGTCCGTGGGAAGGAAGGGCCGGCAGAATAAATGTGATCAGTGGAAAATCTATCACTTGGTGCCTACAGAACACGTCTAACATTAATTTGTCAACACAGCGTTGGCCCTTTCGCGCGGTAACTTGTTTCTTTTAATGCAACACACTTAAATAAACCTTCACATCACCACCTGCCTCCTGACCAACACCTTCGCGCCCAGCGTGTGGAGCGCGCCCAGGGAACGGGTGGTGGAGTGGAAGGGTGGAGGGCCCGCGCTCGCCCCCGGGGAGGGTTGGAGCGAACGAGCGAGAGAGCGCGCGCTCGACTCGCACTGCACTCGTGCCCGCCGCGCGCCCTCGCTGCCTGGAGTCCCGGCGCTCGAGCCAGTCGCGTGCGGAGGCTGCATGTAGCTCCAAGCTGTAGCGAGAAGCAAAGAGCAATGGTATTCAGCCTTCGCATTGGGAATTTAAACACCCGGTTTTCAACTTGTTCTCGCGCGTTGCTTTACTCCCTGTTACTTATAGTGTCTTTCCCCCCTTCCTTTCTGTCTCTCTTTCACAGATGATAAAGGTCCTGATATGTGTTGTTGTTGTAGCCTTCCTGCAAATAGAAGGCAGGCAACGGGCGACGTCGGACAGCGGCAATTTTCTGGATGATAAACAATGGCTGACTACTATCTCGCAGTATGACAAGGAGCCGGGACACTGGAATAAATTCCGAGACGTATGTACCTGTTTCCGTGCTGTTGAGAATTTGTGCCTGTGGGTTGCAGTAGGGAGGGGGGTTTTGTGAGAGACGCTCTCTCGGAGTCTGTCTGGCTCTGCTCCTGAACTCTGGGCAGTGTGTGCACTGTTTCCATCACCTGGCATTTCTGTCTTCAAACTCCAAACATTCAAAGTGTCCAGCTGATTTATGCTGCACTAACAACGCTTCTTGGTTCAACTTCGCCTTTTCCAGTAATAAAGCTCATTGGCAACTAATTGTGTCAAATGTTGATTTCAGACTGGTTTGAGAACTGGTATTTTGTTCACTTGCAGTGCAGACAATTGTATCTCTGCCCATTAAAAGCCCCCGAATTGATACGTTAAGCTTTCTGAACGTACTGTGTAAGCACAGTCCAGTTTGAATTGAACAGGTGCGCGAAGTATTCAAAACATGGAAATGTGGGACCACGCAGGTGCCCTCAGTACATTTTTAATATCTCCACTGCCACCGGACTACTTGACCCTTAACGGCTTTCTTGATCTCTAATCGATTTACGTTTATTATTTGTTTGGACGGTCTGCCGGCAGTTTTCTCCCGACATTCCGATTCAGATGGTCAATCGCATGAAAAAACTGGGATGAATATTTCTGAACAGAAGTCACTAAATTAGTGGCCTGATATTTTTCGCTCGTGTGCGTTGACAAGTGGGCGTTCAGAGAAAGTCAGCGATGGTGTTGACGATCTGACTACGTACATATAAAGTATTTTTCTGTAGATTAATCAGTGGAACCCCCAAACGGGGCGTGAGAGGTGATGATGAACAACAAATAGCTAAGTGGCGCCTGTTTTGCTTTTGAAAGACGTTGGTGGGTAAAATTAAACCGCAGTATTTTCTACAATATAACAATCATGACCACTTAGCTGCAGGTATAATGTACCTGTTATTCACATTGGTGAACTTAATGACCCATCTACAGATTAAGCAAAAGAACTAGAGACGAATAATAGTGTACGAGACCGCCCACATCGATAGTCAAATTTTGGTGTTCACCTTGTGTTTTATTTTGTTTCTGTTGAGGTCGGTGACTTGGTTCTGTGACGTACATTTTTGACAAAAAAGTAGGGAATACCAGGACAGGCATTGTTTTCAAAAAAAGTCTTTTTTTGAAGACAACAGAATAGGGAATAATTATCCTGAAACTTAAAGCTATTTACAGGTGAATTTTTTTTTGGGGGGGAAAAAAAGCTTGATCAGTTTTGTGCTAAATATCAAACTATACCAAGACTAAAAGACAATGAAAAATCTAAGATGCAAATAGCATAAAACCAACATACAGTGTAAATGTGACTTAAAACAAGAAAATGCCAGAATACTTAGCTCAGGCAACTCATGCAAAGAGAGATACATTTCAGATAAATTATCTGTCATGTGCTGGTTAAAATAGTTAGGAATAAACTAACTAAAATTAATAAAGTTTTTGAACAAAAGAAAATGTACAGAAACAAGATAAAATTTGTCATTTTTCAATATTACTTTTTCCTTCAAAATTGTAGCATTTAAGTAAATGTGTATTTTATATACATGCGTCATAACACGAGAAACATTTCCTTTAGAAGCAGCAAAGTATAATTAAGTCCAAACCAGACGTGTGGGGAAATTTTCTTCTCCATCACATGGGCAGAAATCTAGTGGAATTACCAGTGGAACGTGATTGGCCAGCTCTACAATGGGAAGGCAAGCTGGTTTGCCATTGACACCCATGAGGGAAAGTTAATAGTCACTTCCACCTTTAATCACAGATCAAAGCCACCTTTTGGCTTTCTTACAATATCCCTGAAGCCTCTTTGTAAAATCACTTGTTTCAAACTGGTAGTTTTCAGTAGCCTTTCCTGGTAATGTTACTGCACAGCTGCTAATCTCTGGCTGAGCATTTTGATTGACATTCCTCCTTATACATTCAATTCTAACTTCTAGCATTTTAATCTTTAACCATAAAAATTCCTTGGTAATCGAAAGAAAAATGCCCATTGAAATACATAATTTAAGAAGAAAAATGTACCTTAACCATAAATGTATACCTGGCCAATTTAAACCATCTTTATTGCAACAACACCCTTCTCAAGTGAGAGATGCTGCCTTGTCTCGAATTTTGTGCGTTCATTCAAGAAACCTGCCAATGTTGCTGCTGACCAAGCTGAAGTCCTGGAAAATCATGATGGAATTGAAAAGTAGGAATTTTCCACTGCATAGTGTCAGTGTGATTCCATTATATAAACAAAACACTGGCAGGTGATCTGCAGCCAGAGCTGGTAGAATGGGTGAGGAACACTTGAGCTGCGAGATTTAAAGAGAGGAATGTGAGTTTATGAGGTCCACATTTAGGAAGAGCAAATTCAGGGAGATTAGTTGACTTCACTGATGTGAGGATTGGATTCATCATCTTCTATCTGCTTACTGGTTCCCCTCATCCCATATTACCTTGTTTTCTTCTCATAACGAAAGTCTCTGTGAACAAAGTACTGTGCTTTACTTTTGCGGGAAAGCCCTTATTATTGCAATATACTGATTTCATTACACCTGTCTAGCTTTGTCAGACCTGTCAACAACATCACCAAGCACCTCTACTTTCTTAGTGGTCTCTGCATCCTGTCAAGATCAATAATAATCTTTGTATGAAGGAGTGATTGTCTGCGATGTATTGAGTGAAATTCCAATCTGAAGATTTGAAAATGCAACATCATGCTTTTATCAACAGCAAAGCACAGCAAATATAAGATTTATTTACCAAAAATTCTAAATTTATTTCTTGATTGGCAGTTGGTGCCTGTTTCTCATTCATTACATTTTTTTACCTGTAAGTCTGAAAGCTGTGATTCTAGCAATCTCTCTAACACTTGACCCCAGTAGATATTATGGCATAATGGAAGTGCATCACACTGACAGTTATTCGTATCACTTTGGGTGGATCTTGGTCCCTGTTTCACCCACCAAGCACATCAATCCAGGCTGAATTTGGTTCCGTGGTAAAGGAGAAAATCGATATTTTAAATTATCCAATCTGCAAGGATTTAGATTGTTTCTGCGGTCTGGTTGCACCCCTCCTTTTGGAGGAACCAACCTCTGCCCTACTGGAGGCCTATATACCTGAACTCCCTTAGCATATAACCTGAGAGTCATAGTAGGGGGATGGGAAAGTAGGATTTTAAGGTAAAAGATGTATAACATTTTTTTCTCCATCCATCCTGATAATGACTACTCACAAGGGCTCCTTACCACTGTGTAGGCATTTTCCAATGAAGGCTGAAACCTAATATTTTTGTTTTGTTCAATAGTTCCAAGAGACTACAGTTGGACTTACAGTGGAAAACCAACAGAAATACCGAGGGGATCTAACACACTTTCACATTTTGTGCCTTGCTCCGTATGCATTATTTTGCAATCTCAAATATTCAAAGTTATGTCTGTGGGTGGCATTCTCACCTCTAATTTAGTAGGTCGTGTGTTCAAGTTCCACTCAGGACATGGACACACAATCTAATGGTTGACAGTTTAGTGCAGCATCTGGAAGTGCTGAGTACCAGAGGTGCCACTTTCAGACTAGAATTGAAACTAAGGATGATGTGCTAATTCAAATGATGTTAAAGATCCTATAATATTATTCACTGGAGAGCTTGGGGTTTCTGCATGGTGTGCTGGCTCATGTATATCCATCAAATAATGTAACTTACAGATTATATGATCATTTTCACATTGCTGTAATGGGATCCTGCTGTGAACAAATTGGCTGTCATGGTTTCCAAATTACAGCAATGACTACACTTGAATAAAGTACTTAATTGTCTGTAAAGTGCTTTGGGATTTCCTGAGTTTATGAAGGAGCTGTAAAAATTCAAATCCTTTATTGAACTGTATCTACGAGTACAGGCCCACCAGGTCCATTTTTTTTCTGTTTGTAATATACCTGATTATTTGCATATAAGTTGGTCATAACTACAACCGTAGAGATTTTACTTAATGTACAACTTAGTGTATATTGTCAGCCTATTTATCCATAGCCAAGCACTATCCCTTTCTGCCAACATCCCTTTAACTCTGACTCCAGCCCTGCTCCCTTTTTGTCACAAAAATCCAATCATTATTACCCTAGCTTTGATCTGCTCACTCAGAAGGCAATATCCTGCGCTGCTATGTTTTCATAAGTGTAGAAGTAGCTGTACCCAATCCTGTTCTACGTTGAATATACACTTTCTTTGCATTCTGATTTCAGTCTCCAAAATAACAACGCATTAGGACAAGTTAAAAAAAAATACAAAAAACTGTGGATGCTAGAAATCTGAAACAAAAACAGAAGTTGCTTAGGAAAACTGAGCAGGTCTGGCAACATCTGTGGAGAGAAATTAGCATCAATGTTTTAGGTCCAGTGACCCTCCATCTAGACGCAGCCAGACCTGCTGAGTCCTGCAATTTCTGTTTTTGTAATATGTTAGGATAGTTCCGTAGGTTGTAAACACAGAATTTAAACTGGAACACCATGTTTCCCAACCTTGTTATTACAGCTAATTTTACAAGTACTACTGAAAATTGAAATTGAATCAAATGGTTCAATGCTCAGAAAATCAAATCATTCTGCTGTAATATCTTGTTTTGTCCTGGATTCAGACACAAGCAACATTTTCCTACCCTACAGACGTAAAAGCAATGCAAAATCTTTCCTGTCTCCCTTCCAGCTATTGTCATTATTGTTGTCTTCCACTCACTTGCCCTTGTTACACCCAAAACCACTGCCTGTTTTCTAATTTGTGCTTAATTCAACATTGAACATTGCTGCACTTATTCCCCTCTTAAGTTTCAGATAATAGATCTTTTTTTGGATCTGATCTTCATATAAAGCCAGGGCAGGTATTTTACGACTCTTCTTGTTTCTAGAGCTATATAAAATGTGGAAGAAATATTGGAAGAAAGGAATACATATTGAGATAGAGATATACATTAGAAATATACAGGATGGGAATATTAA